ACCTTCTCTATTACCTTGGAGACCATTTTTAAATTTGAAATTGGACGGTAATTTGCTAGAATTTCTTTATTTAAGGATGGCTTCTTTAACAGGCTTCGTAGAACAGCAGTTTTCAAGCACGGTGGAACAGAACTAGATGACAGCGACTTATTTACAATGTTACAAATGACAGGCAACAACAAACCAAGATTCTGACACAATAAAAAAGCAGGAACGGGATCGAGGCTGCAGGACTTTGAAAAAAGGTTTTTACACATGGCAGATAAATCTTTAGCAGTAACAGGTTCAAACGARGAAAAAGWACAKTTAATTGATGGCTCATCAAAAATAGTAAAAACATCAGAGTCACAGGACATCACACGAGAAGATAAATCATTTCTAATTTTCACAGACAAAAAAGAACAAAAGCTTTTCATTTTTGAGCGTTTCATATAATGAAAATTTAGCATGCAGCGTGAAAATCTTGCGAAGAAAAAAGAAAAACTCAAATTCCACGAAAAAAGCGAAAACGCACGAAGATCGACGCCGATGATTAATTAGTTCAATTTAGCTTTTTACTGATTTGTATAACTATTCACTGATTTATAGCAAGTCTTTTGCTTTGACATTTCACAAATACGAAAAACAACTAAACTGCGTGTAGTCGGAACATATTACAAGCACGGCGGACAAAACCGTCGCTCAAGTGTGCAGACTTTGTTGGGGGAGGAACTGATCTGAACACCATAAGAAAATCTGCAAATCAGCAAAGGAGGCTAACAGGAAATGAAGAGAGCGCTCTGGGAACTGACACGACTGACGAATTGATCGTTATAGCGGATTTCGTATGACTGTGCAAAGGCATGGATCACGGCACGGACACGGAACGTCGCCTTCTAGGATTCCAAACAAAAATAAGGATTTAACAATACATCCCCGCTATGGCACTGTACGGTCACAGCACGGAAGTACCGTGTTTTTTTTGCAGAGTCATACGAAATCCGCTCTACCTGAAAACTATTGTTGCTGTGCGAAATCAGCACGTCATTTGTATGCAGTATGTGGCGCAATGTTTGTCTGGTTTACAACGAAAAACCAGACAGATACTCGTCATACTGAATCAGACAAAAATCCGAGTACTTTCTCAATGAGAACTTGGGCAACGCTATTTTTTCAACGTCCCAAGAATCGTTCGTTTACTTTACAGTCGACCTGAATCCACTGCAGTAGTTATTTTGATAGTTTTTTTATTTCACGTTATAGTCTTGAACGGTCAAGATGAGCGGCCAAAATGGAGTTTGACTGGACAAATGCGAATTTTGGTCGGTCATTGTCCGTTGACCGGCCGTTATTTTGAGCCCTGTTTAAGCGCGTACAATAGGCCATAATCAACTCTTCATATTCTTGTTTTGTTTTCCTGAACTGATACTCTTCGAAAACAATGTTCTTCTTGTCTTCAAAGTAGAGTGTTAAGGCATCAATACCTTTCTTTAGCGGGTTTTCTTCGACAGTTGCTTCGGTGTTTGGTAAAGTGTCGAATATTTCGTTCGTATCTTCTCCAACGTAGTGCAGCAGTAGCGCTCGTTGTCTTGCTGCATTTGTGATGTTCATAGCTGTCATTGGGTTCTTCAATCGTGCGACATATTTTTTCCATCGAGGGCCTTTCGCTCCTGCTTCTTCGGTGATATCGAAAGCCGGAAAATAGGTAGAGCTTCTGACATGGTGTTGTATTTTCAGTGAGRATGTTTCAATCCGTTTCATTCACTGTTCTGTTACATAGAGAGGGGTTATCCTTGTGAGTTCTGTTGATCCTCGTCGCCAATGTTGTTTTCAAGAGAACCAGAAAGCATGTGCTTTTCGTCTGCTTTATTTACCGTCGCTTATCCCCTAATATCCATTACGTCATAGGACATTACAAAGACAAATTTTAGATACGTGTTTGCGATAGTCCACTGACGTGGAATTTATAGTATTCAAGCTTGTTTATGTTGTAGGCTAAAAACACAATAGTAGGTCAAGTTTTCAATGTCAAAAACACATGATTTGATATTCTGATTTCCTTTCGGACTCTGTTACTGAAACATCTATAATTACAGAAAGCATGAAGCCCAAAAAGGAAGGCAACCGGCGATAATTTAATTGTAATCTTTCATTATTGCATGATTCTGCACTAATAATTATACACTGTATAAGCTACATGTAATTTTCAACTCGAATAGATTGAAATTGAAGATAAACAGCAAGTCTTATCTTTATGGGTATAAAATGTTCACCTTTTCAAGCTTGAGAAGTGATTGATAACATGTCATGCTTGATTCTCACGTGGTTTGATTCCCGCCTAGTGGAGTGTAAATTAAACATGAATGACCGATTAAAGTTTATATGGGTAAAGTCTCTTCAAATTCTTTCTAAAATAGAAAGCACCAGTGACCAATGAAAGTTTATATGGCTAAAGGCTCTTCACTAAGGTCATTTACAGAAAATATCTTCCAATGCTTTTGGGAAACACAATGTATGTATAGGAAATAGCATCAACAAAGCATAAAACTCTTTGCATTGTGTTTAAGCATGCAACTCACAAAATTAATAGCAATGATTAAACAAAGTATCAAGTATAATTTTTTTTAGTCTTGTGTAAGTGCTAAATTTTTAAGAACTAAATTCAAATACTGAAAGACCTAAATAGGCCAAGTATTTACATATAAATAGGAATTGAAGTACACCGAGAATATTATGATAATGTTACAAGTTATATTACTTTTTTTGCTACTGATTCGCCTTAGGTACGAGTCCATAGCTTTCCTGCATTCAGTCCAGGTTCTGTGTGCTTCTGTTGGTGCCACCGGATAGTACTGTTTCACAAGGCATTGGATTATTTGGACCTTGTTTTTGTCAATCGCCTGCTTACCACGACATCCAGTAATTTTCCTTCCCTTCATTTCCTCTTGTGTACAAATGTCTCTCAAAACTCGAACAGCGAAGTTTTTGTGTGATGATGCAAGAGAACAATTTCAGCTGGAGAAAAAATGTCACCCTCATTTGTCCTGGTTATCAATGGGGTTTCGTGTTGTATATGGACATGAGAAGGCATTGAATAGGGCGGGGATTCTCGGACAGTTGTGGACTGGTTTTCAAGTAGCATTTCTAACGTTTCAACATGGGCGAGAACATCCAGCTTGCTTTCTATGCATAACAGATTTTTTTTCAACAAGTGATCACGACGATTAGTCAGTGTATTCAAAACCGATGAATGAGATGACAAACTGGGTAGGTAGGTAAAGTGGGGAGACTGTTAAATCACCTGGCAAATTGTTGAATCTAAGATTTCTGAATGGAGTCTGTGGAGGCGTTGCCGTTGATGGACCAGGATTATTGTTTGTAGTTGCGTGTTGTGGTGTTTTAGGCCGGTCAGACCCGATATGGCTTGATTTCTGGGACTAAATTTGCAATAACAGTTGCCAGTTAAAATCAAAGAAAGATAAATGGCGTGCATCCCGGTGTCAACGCCGTTCATAGTCAGAAGAACTCCATTCATACAATCAATGAAATCCAGTTAAATTATATACTAAACTCTAAATCTGAGGTCTAGCTTACCTCTTTTGTTTTCTTCTTTTGTTTTGGCTGTGCATTTTCATCTTTATTTTGAGGTTGCTTCTACAGAATATCAGTAAAACAATTGAATAAAAGACAAAGAATTTCATAAACGTAGTTTTAGAATCATAAAATCATATCTGTAATTTTTGAGGATAACGAGATCTACTTTTTTCTGTTTTGCTTTGCTAGTTTTCTTTTTTTGTCTAGTTTTACCTGTATTTTGCTGCTGCAATTAGAACAAAGCATATATTTTACAATATTGTAAAAATTATTCCATATGTACTCAGGTTGACTAGAAATTGACTATGCATGTCGATTATTCATTATATGATAAAATTATTTCTTCGACTGTGGTCATTATGTACATTGATATTGATACAGTAAGGCCCTGGTCGCACTTCGAAACAATTTCAGAACAATTCTGTTTAGTTTCGTCAAAAACTGTCAAATTCTGTCATCACTGCACCGATATAAGTGCGACCGATTTGTTTCGAAGCGTTCTGAATTTGTGTATCGCTACAAAACTTCAAAGATGCCGATGTACTGCTCTCTAGCAGCAGTTTTCTTGTTCAATAAATAAAAAGGCGAGAAAAGTGTAAATCACTTTGCATAGCAGGACTCGATACTGACCTAGAGATCACGTTCGCGCGGACTCACATTACATCTCCATGTTCTTTCTAGTTGTAGCTCTAGTTCTAGCAGTACGCAATCATTATATAGTATGAATCCGAACTTTTACTATAATTGGGATGGTCCTGCCGACCATTATTATCAACTTGATCAATACCAGCCAGGAATCCGTACATTGTCGTACGACAAACCCTTCTCTCAAGGAGTGGGGAAGTCCGTCCCTCAGTGTAAAAGGAAGATCCAATACCTTAAGGACAAGTATAAAGAAGCCAAGGATCAAAATAGAAACCAGAGTTCTACGACAAATTGGAAGCTGTACTTGGATGTCACGATGTGGTTACCCTGAAACACGTGGTAGAATCAACTACTAAACAGAGTTCAACCAGTTCAAGTCCTGCTAGTTCTAGATCTAGTTCCTCAGGCATTTTGAAAAATGAATGCTTATTAAAAGTTATTACAGATTCCACAAATAGTCTCTCATATAATCTCTCAAAGCTTCACTTTCGATGTTCTGATTTTGAATGGGTTGATTAACATTTTGAATGCCATCATCGTCGTCCCAAAGATCACCAGAATCATTACCAAAATTGTGAATAACACAGCAAGCAATGATACATTTAGTGACAAATGCAATATTGCTATCAATCCTTTTCTGCAGAATTCTCCATCGTCCCTTTAATATGCCAACTGCACACTCCACTGAAACTTGGGCACGCGATAGTTCTTTATTAAAATGAATTTCTTTGTGATCCCTTGTACCTTTGGGATAGGATTTTAGGAGGGAAGTGGAGATGGGGTTATGCGCTGTCACGCAACAGGAAAGGTTTTACTTCTCTATTTTGTACTCTTACAGTTGGTTCGTTCAAAAGTTCTCCATTCATGATTTTTTGGCAAATAGCACTATTCTTGAAAATTCTAGCGTCATGCATGCTCCCGGGAAAACCTGCAGCGACGTCTAGAAAACGCTTTTCTCCATTGACTACTGCTTGAACTACTACATCCTATTATTGGTATCGACTAAAATATCTGGTCCACTGTCTTTAGGGTTTTGTATTCTGATATGTGTACCATCTATAGCGCCTACAGCATTAGGGATATCTGTTAATGATTCAAAAGTCTCTCTGGCTTCTATAACTTCATCCTCTGTAGTTGGAAATCTGATGTAGTTTTCAACAATTTCACATAACGCTTCCACCACATCTTGCGTCGCTTCAATCACAGTAGTTTTGCCAACATTAAATGTAGCTGCGATTGTACTATAGGAGTTGCCATGAGCGAGTTGGTACAGACCAAGAGCTAGCACTTTTTCTGGTGGGATGCAGTCACGTAAAAATGTACTTTTGCGCGTCAGTGATGGTCGTAGTATATTTAGAAGTTCCTCAAAAGTATCAGCATTCAAACGTAACTGCTCTCTAAAATAACTGTTCTGGTATTTGACAATTCCTGTAAAACTTGTCAAACCATGGGTGTTGTGGCCTTGGAATCATTAGGAGCTGGAGAGGGCTTTTTTGTACGGGATCTCCTGCTGAAATAATCACTAGGTTGTGGTTTTTGGGTGTTATAAGCCGCAGGGATTAACAACCACAGGAACCCACAGCAATTCTTATACTGACAGCGAACGTACAACAGACACAAAATTCAAATATTAACGGATCGTAGTATTAGCTAAATATGAATATGTTTGAGCCAAATAAGGCAAGCACCCTAAGGTTTTGGCGCAGAATACAAATCATTTAACGAGGGTACATGGCGGCAAAAAACAACGAGGACTCTTTTTCTAGTTTCTTGGCCGTTTTACCAGATATTAGTATGAATATGAGCTACTGGTACGCATTAAACAGTAAACTCCTCAATTTGAATGTCCGGAAGGTCAATAATCTAATAGTAAAGAAAGGCTCTCACTAAAGATTGCATGTTATTGGTACGTAAACACACTCTGCRAGAGCCGACGTTTTGTAGTGTATTTTTATGCAGTTTATTTAATAGTGTAGTAGCCGTAAAAATATCTCTTCAAAATAAAATCTTTCCTTCGTGGTTTCAAGGTGCTTCGTCCAAAACCAGTGGAGTTATTAGGTGATTCGCCGGTGACTCTGCCAAAGACAACGTTTTGTAGTGTATTTTTATACAGTGTATTTAGTATAGTCGTAAAAATATCGCTTCAAATTGAAATCTTTCCTTCGTGGCTTCCTTTGTGGTGTTTCGTCCGAAACCAGTGGAGTTACTAGGTGATTCGCCCGTTACTCTGCGAGAGACAACGTTTTGTAGTGTATTTTTATAAAGTGTATTTAGTATAGTATAGTCGTAAAAATATTGCTTCAAAATGGAATCTTTCCTTCGTGGCTTCCAGGTGTTTCGCCCGAAACCAGTGGAGTTACTAGGTGATTCGCCCGTGACTCTTCGAGAGACAATGTTTTGTAGTGTATTTCTATACAATGTATTTAGTATAGCATAGCTGTAAAAATATCGCTTCGAAATGGAATCTTTCCTTAGTGGTTTCAAGGTGTCGTCGCCCGAAACCAGTGGAGCTGGTAATTCGGCTGTAACTCTGCGAGAGACAACGTTTTGCTGTTTATTTCTATAAATGCGTCTCCGAAATGACCAAAATATAGGTGGGCTGTCAGTTAATGCTTAAGTATAATATGATACACTTGATCTCTGGTTGGTTTCAATCTCTTTACGTTTCCAGCACCTCAGGTATGTTTTCTGACCGCTTCTATTTGACCATAAAATTGCGGCCTCAATCGCAAAATTGTCTTGCGCTAACAGTATTGTTACACAATGTTCACTGCAAAGAGTTAATGATTTATTTTGACCTTCTACGCTGACCTTTACGAAGTAGGTTAATTTAATCCCCTTATCCTCGCAAACACCTCTGCTATACTCTCTGTCCACATGAACTGATGTTTATAGTACGCACAGCTGGAATCAACCGGCTCTCAGGGCCGGTTGATTCCAGCTGTGCGTACAAAAAAAAGCCATCTCCGGCTCATAATGATCCAAAATCGTCTACCAACCCGGTGCCTTGGAATGATTTGTCTTCGACGATTCAATATCAGTAGTTGGCTTCTCAAAGCCCGATTACGGGCAATACTTGCTAAAATGATAACTCTTTGCACGTTGCCGGCTGTTATAAGAAAGCTCATGAACATATAATTTAGTACCAAGATTTCCACGTCTAGAATCATATTAAAACTTAAAAATCGATGATAAAGGTAAGCTGCTCTTGTGTTTGTTGACTTGAATAGCACGCCAAAAATATGATAAAGATGTAATGCTATATCATTGGTTGATCTGTCAATGCTTGAGTACTTAGTGAGCAATTGTTTCGATAAGTGCGACCGCAAAAACTTGTAAAGCAATTGTTTCACAGCAGCTTTGCTTTTGGATTGTACTGACCGTGGTTAGTAGAAATCAAAGGTTTGTATCAAGTGCGACCGGTAACTAATACCTTTTTATTTTGCGCCTTAGATACGGCTCCATCACATGGACCCTGACATCAAAACTTGAAAATAAGATAGATGGTGCCTATACGAGAATGCTCCGCGCTGTTCTAGACCGATCCTGGAAAGACCATCCCACCAACAAAGAACTCTATGGCAATTCTTGATCAGATTGCTTATGTGAGATCCAGGACTTGCTTTTCCTTCAACTATCAACTGGCCCTTTTCGTCCCATTTCATGACTTCTGGGTTTTCTTTAATCTTTTCTAACATCATTTTACCACAAGTTTTTGATGTTCTGGGTGAAGCTTGAAGTATTTCGCTCTCCAAACGACTGTGCTGACATTAAACAGCGCTTTCATGAATTGTCAACCCATGGTCAGGTATGACAAGATCATCTGGAACAATTTTGTTGAGTAGTCCATAATTTTCTGTCAAACATTTGTCAGACGTTCTCCCACTCCATGCCTTTGAAAAAAAAGGAACAGTTCCTTGAGGAGTAATCCCAATCAAGACTTTGGCAGTGTTATGATCCTTATATGAGATGAAGGTCTGTGCCCTTGCCAACAAATGTTTTGGTTTTTCTATAAAGACCTCAAACAATCAATGATCACTATTGTTTTATTGCCAAATGAGTATTGAAAGGTCTGGGGCATTGTTTTCCATAATGGTCAAGTCTCTTAGTCCGGGAATTTGGCCGGATCGTGACAGCAATGACAAAAGCACCAAATTTGGGACAGAGCTTCGTTTTGATGTAAGAAATGATTCCAGAAGGGGTGTCCAGTGATACAAGCTCAGGGGGGTGCACAAGAGCTCCTTAGAGGGGAGGGGAGGGGTGAAATCAGCTCAATAATTTTAAACTCAGTTTAAATTGGTCAAATGAATTTAAATCTAGCACAGAGCTTACTTTTGATATAAGAAATTATTTCAGATGGGGTGAAAACTGACCCGGGCTCAAGGGGGTGCACAGCAGAGGATTCAAATCATCTAAATGTTCGTAAATTATGCATTTATGGATGAAATAGACCTAAATTTGGCACAAAATGTGGTTTTGTTCTAATGACTTTGCTGATTGATTAAATAGAGTTACTGTATACAAGGACAAAAGTGTTTGTATTAAATCAGTAGTAATACCACTTTGTGCCAGGAGAAATGCTCTGGAGAAGGAGAGCCTGCTGTCTAGGCCTCTATAAGGTGATGGAACGCTCCCACCAAGATAACAACCACATCCGTGTCCACTTTTCTGACGAGGACAGTTTTAATATGCTCATCTTGAATAGCGTGATTGACAGGCACTACAATGCGCGTGTCAGCTTCTTTGTGGGAATATGCACTCCTAGCACTCTCTGTATCAATGGCTATTACATTGTCTCCTAAAAGAAGGATGATATAAATAACTTACACAAAATTAGTATATATGAGTGTCAGCTGAGGTGATATAAATCAGGGGTACTCAGCACTCCTATTTGCTAGAAATGAAAACAACTCGTCTTTGCTGACTGAGTCACGTAGAAACTGTATGCACTTTGCCAGGACCTTTGTACTGCCTGAAACTTTCTGTCGTCACAGCGCACATTTTCAAAGTGCAAAAAGGAAATGGAATCGAATGGAATCTTTGACCGCACTCCATGTACATAAGTCGCCACAATTTGCTGTAATATTTGAATAATTCTGGCTTAATATTTCCCACTCTTCATCGATACTCATTTGGGTATATAGTGRGGTCTGTACTTTTCTTTTCACGTCACGATATCCAGAAACACGATCCTTGTCCCGTCCTTTAAAATAATGTCTATTCCCTTCAAAAACATCGTTGAATTCCTTGGTCAGCATAATCTTGGTCACTGTCTCACCAATATTGCCTTTATCTTCTTCTAAGTGAGCCATAAGAGGAGTGAAACTTCATTTGCTGTCTTCATAATTCCGTTGAATACTGAACGACAGAGTGAAATATTATATATTCTATAGAGGATATTACATGGTCGCCCAGATATACGGATTGTATCTTTGAGTGTTGTAAAGATCTCTCACGAGTGAGCGTAGCTCATATTATTACATATCAAAGTAAATTATGTCGTAAAATAGCTTTTCTCTTGTGTTATTAGAATACCGTATTTTCACTACTGAAAATAACAAAATAGGTATTTCATAGATAATTATATGATAAATATATTTATTTCTTAGTACAGCTGTTTGCAATAATTCTGACCCCCTCTGCCATATTTCATATATATCAAACTGACCTTTAATATTATGAGATATCATGTCTGATATATTTTCTGTTGTCCAGAATGAGTACTTTCTAAAAAAAGTATCAGCATTAGTATCCCATAATTTCTAAGACTACTTTGATATATATGAATATTAGTGTAGGGGGGTCAGAATTATTGCAAACAGCTGTATTCATATGTTATCGATATATATTGTAAATAACATTTTTATCATTGTCATCAAGCTTTTTTGAATATGTTATAATTTAACTATATCAAATTCTATTATATTAAGTTTGTTTATGTGCTCTAGGAAAATATGTAAATCCTAAACGACTTACCAAGCTCGAATTAAAGCAAACGAAGTAGCGGAATCATGTTTCCTTCGCTTTTTCGGCGAACAAGACATCATGGAGTTCGCATAACTTGTGAAGTTCACAAATGTGATATGCAGGCTTTTCCATGCACACGTTCGAAAGCCATTTGTCACGTTCGAACCTGTGATTGGTTGAAGAAAAACAAAGACTGAATTAATTTCGTAGACATGTAGGCCTCCCGGCACGGTGGACCTTTTGCATTAGTGTCCAGGCTTCCACTGGCGCTTCTTTTGTACAGTACTTTCTCAGACACAGTGGCAAAATGGCGGTTTTGACACGGATTTTACTTGCCTCAGGAGAGCTCATGGCTCTGGAAAATCAACTGGCTCGGTGAAACCAGCATTTCTACAGTGGTAAGTTATTAGTTGACAGCTGTACAAAGGCACATTGCGTTAGTAGTCGAATTTCGACAAAAAAAATCGACCAAATTAAGAGCTGTTCGAAGTGGATATGGAGGGCT